CAATTTTATGAATATTCTTATCTGTACCTCAAAGCTGCTGTCCGCCATATTAGATACCGTCGTGACGTCACTGGTTAAGTAACCTAGCTAATGTGCTGTGTGTTATTTCGAAAATTTTCAAGTTATCATCACAATAGTTGTTAACTGTTATTCTGCATTTTATTGAAATGACAAAATGGAAGATGGATTCGTAAAAGCAGAAAGTATTAATCTACCAAGGATAAATGTATTGACGGTGGCAAAATTTTATGTATGCAATCCCGATTTTTGTCTACTGAGTTCAGGAACTTGTTTATACAATAACACAATACCAGGTCAGAGTGTATGTTGATAATACATAGTTAAGTTTATCTATGATTACAATCATTAGCAATCATTAGTTTTAATACCTAAGATAACGTAATCTGTTTCAAAATTTGACTTGTAATACCTATCATCTCATGATATTTTGTTTTGTATAAAGGATAGTTAAATATGTGTGTGTGTATTAAAGGATAGTTAATACTTCCTACACAGTAAAGGCCATCTGCTTATGGAATGATCTTCCTTCGCAAATTCGTCGTGCCAAAACACTAGAAAAGTTTAAGACTGACGTCAAAAATTACTACCTAACAGTGCAATAATCACTGGTCATCATTTGCGACATGAATTTTTTGTATCCTGTCTGTATTTATTTATGTATTTTTTCCTATTTAATCTTATGTATGTCTATTATATTTTGAATGTATATATTAGTGTATTAAATATTTTGTTATTATGTATCAGTTTAGTTTATTTAGATATTAGTATGTAAGTTTACTATAATATACACCACCTCCCACTGTCCAATAGTACAATTTTCTCCTAATGTTAAGGTTGTCTAGAAGAGATTGCTTTTTAGCGATAAGACCGCCTTATTGTACCTACCTCTTAAGTTTTACTCCTTGTAATTTGTTTTTTATTGTTTTTGTGGTATACAACAAAGTATAAATAATAACAATAATAATATGAGCCGTGTACGGTCACGAATATCCACTACTCCATATCTTCCCATGGGTGTCGTAAAAGGCGACAAAGGAAAACAGGCAGGAGATGGGCAGCAGCATCTTCCTGATAGTAGGTGAAATTACAATAAAAAAAACTGCGGTTGCCAACCCGCTCGCCAAGCGTGGCACCTATGGCAAATACTCCCCTATGAAGAAAGTAACAAAGAGACGGCCCCCAGTCCCCGGCGGCCCCGCTATTCCTGGCTATGGTGGCGAACATGGTAACGGCGGGGCAGGGGGTGCTAAGAATCTCCGGTGGAGGTTCGGTTGCCACCTTAGACGACTCGACCTGGCAACGTACAACGTACGCACCCTGAGGATTGACGAGAAGATCGTGGAGCTGGAAGAAGAGATAGACAAGTTACGCTGGCATATTATAGGATTATCCGAAGTCCGAAGAGAGGGGGAGGACACGGTAATCCTCGAATCCGGCAACTTGTTCTATCACCGGGAGGGCGACCATCTGTCCCAAGGAGGTGTCGGATTTATCGTCCACAAGTCTCTCGTTAACAACGTTGTAAAGATTGAGAGTGTGTCGACGAGGGTTGCGTACCTTATACTCAGAATCACCAAACGGTATTCGCTGAAGATCATACAGCCATGCCTTCCTCCAAAACCCAATATACGGTGTTAATGGGAGACTTCAATGCAAAACTAGGCACAAGAGAGAACGGTGAGCTGAAAGTGGGGAAATTTGGAATAGGGCAACGGAACCCAAGGGGCCAGCAGCTGGCCGACTTCATGGAGAAAGAGGGACTCTTTATGATGAACTCTTTCTTCCAGAAGAGGCCCCACAGAAAGTGAACCTGGTCGAGCCCCGACGGTTCGACAAAAAATGAGATTGACTTCATTATGACAACCAGACGACAACTGTTCAGTGATGTCTCCGTGATCGCGAGGGATCACCGAATGGTTAGAGTCACACTGAACCTAAACGTTAAGTTGGAGCGGTCTCGTCTAATGAAGTCAACGCTCCGTCTCCCTCGTGCTCTGTTCCAAAGTCCTGAAACCTATCAGCTCGAGGTACAAAACCGTTTTCAGTGCCTAGAAAGCTGCAATGACGTGGACGATATGAATGACAAGCTCGTGGAAACTGTCCATGCGGTCGGAGCTAAGTTCTGCAAGACCCGCCGCAGAAGAACACAAAAACTCTCCGATCACTCTTAATCTCATGGTTGTTAGACGGGAGATGAAGCTACATTCTTCAACGGATTTGACAGCATACAGGCAACTGAACAGACAGATCTACAAATGCATGCGGCGGGACTTACGCAACTTCGATACAGCTTGTATTGAAGAAGCGATCGAGCGGAACCAAGACTCCAAAGTCTATGCCAGAGATCTGTCTGCCAGAAAGAGCCAACTGTCAAAGCTGAGGACCGAGTGTGGCATCATCGTTTCTGGGGCACCTGAGATTTTGAGTGAGATTGAGAGGTTCTATGGGCAGCTGTACACGTCATCGTTGGAGCCACACGCAAGTGTGAGTAACCATCCAAGAGCGAGTCTTATCCGACACTATTCCGAAGATATACCGGACGTCAGTTTGAGCGAGATTAGAATGGCTCTCCAGCATCTTAAAAACGGCAAGACCCCAGGCGAGGATGGAATTACAGCGGAGCTTTTGAAAGCGGGTGGAAAACCGGTACTTGAAGTCTTTCAGAAGCTCTTTAATTCCGTCCTCCATGGTGGCATTACACCGGAGGCGTGGAGGAAAAGTGCGGTGGTCTTGTTCTTCAAGAAAGGTGACAACGCTCTCTTGAAGAACTACAGACCGATTTCCCTTCTGAGCCGCGTCTACGTGCTGTTATCGAGAGTCATTACGAATCGTCTCGCGCGCAGACTTGACGACTTCCAGCCTCCCGAACAAGCCGGTTTCCGAAAAAGCTTTAGCACCATAGACCACATACAAAATTGACTATGAGAAAGCCTTTAATTTCGTCCAAATTTGGGCGGTGCTGCAGTCCCTTCAGCGGTGCCAAGTTGACTGTCGGTATATCGAAGTGCTGAAGTGCTTGTACAGTAGGGCTACGATGGCTATCCGAGTACAGAACCAGAGTACGAAACCTATCCAATTGCAGAGAGGTGTAAGACAGGGTGACGTTATATCCCCGAAACTCTTCACCGCTGCATTGAAAGACGTTTTCAAGCTTCTGGAGTGGAAAGGATACGGTATTAACATCAATGGCGAGTACATCACTCACCTTCGATTTGCCGACGATATAGTCCTTATGGCAGAATCGCTGGAGAATCTAAGCACCATGCTCAATGACCTCAATAGTATCTCCCAACGGATAGGTCTTAAGATGAACATGGACAAAACAAAAATCATGTTCAATGTCCATCTCACACCTATGCCGGTAGTTGTTGGGATCACTAAGCTCGAAGTTGTTGACGAGTATGTTTACCTGGGACAAATAGTCCGACTAGGTAAATCCAACTTCGACTGAGAGGTCAATCGACGGATTCAACTCGGCTGGGCAGCGTTCGGGAAACTACGACAAATCTTCTCGTCAGACATTCCTCAAAATCTTAAAACGAAATTATACAACCAGTGCGTGTTGCCAGTGATGACTTACGGATCTGAGACGTGGTCCTTCACTGCTGGCCGTATGAGGAAGCTCAAGGTCGCTCACCGAGCTATGGAGAGGGCTATGCTTGGAGTTTCTCTGCGTGATAAACTTAGAAATGAGGATATCCGCAGTAGAACCGACCGACATAGCCCAACGGATTAGTAAGCTCAAGTGGCAGTGGGCCAGCCATATAGCTCGACGAACCGACAACCGATGGGGAAGAAAGGTTCTTGAGTGGCAGCCTCGTACCGGTAGGTGAAGTGTAGGGCGACCCCCCACGAGATGGAGTAACGACCTGGTAAGACATACAGGAAGTCGATGGATGCAGGTGGCTCAGAACCGTGCTTTGTGGCGTTCCTTGGGGGAGGCCTATGTTCAGCAGTGGACTTATGAAAGACTGTAATGATGATGAATAATATAAGGAGTAAATTGAAGGAGGCGATTGTGGAAACGCGCAGTACGCCTCTCGAAAATCGACCGCGACTGCTGTGTATACCCCTAAGCAAGCGGAATCGGGCTGTCGTGAGGGCTCTCAACCTGGCGACCTATTTGGAAGCCAGCCGGGACCTTTGCGAGACGGACTCAATTCTTTTTGGCGCCGCACTGGCAGTTTGCCGTATTATTGGCGTCAAAGTTCCCACGGCTGGACGCGCTACTAGAAAAAGTAGCGCCATCCCAGCAGGATTGAGGACCGTATCGCAAAGACAAGGGCAGACTGATAAGCTTCAGGTCGGGCAATAATAGGACGAGAATTGTGCGCACCATCAGGATGGCGTTTAGTGGCGTGGCAAGAACTGACGGAGCGCATAGACGACCTGAAGCAGAGAATCGCTGCTTGGGGTAAGCGGATTCGACCAGAATCGTCTCTTCCAGAGTGATCAGAAGAGGCTCTATGAATCATTAAAGCGACCAATGGTACGTGGAACGGGCCCAGCACCGAATCAGATCGACACTATCGCATTCTGACGCGGCCAGCTGCCACAGTCAGAGCTCCTAAACCACAGCGAGGACCCTTGGACGGAAGTTGTGGCGAGTCAGTGTGCGAATATTACGCCCATGGACCCCGTCATCATAATGCCGGATGACGTAGATGAGGCGGTCCGTAGGGCCCCGAACTGGAAAAGTCCGGGACTCGACGGACTGCTTTACTACTGGCTGAAGGGGTTCGTGGTTTGTCACGCTTTGCTCACCCGATAGTTTCAAGAGGCTCTCGACGAAAAGTCGCTCCCGAGCCTCTTCACTACTGGGATCACTCATTTGGTTCCTAAAGACCGGGATTCCACAGACCCGAGCAAATACCGCCCCATAACGTGTCTACCTAACATATACAAGATACTAACATCCATTTTGAGCGCGAGAATCACTCGTCACCTGAACTCAAATCAGGTGATGTCGCGCGCTCAAAATGGATGTCGTGGGGTGGTCGTGGAACCACTCCTCATTGACGCGGTCATTGGCAAGGTACAAAAAGGCATTCGACTCGGTGCCTCATACATGGCTTAAGAGGGTCCTTGAGCTGTACAAGGTTAACTGTACAGTTCGAGACTTACTCGGGCAGTGTATGGGGCAGTGGAGTACGATCCTTTGTCATCTAGGCGAGCGGATGACGGCTGCGGAGAGCCATATAAGGATAAGAAGGGGTATCTTCCAGGGCGATTGTTTGAGTCCAATCTGGTTCTGCCTCTCTCTGAACCCTCTCAGTACCTTACTGGAGGGTTCCGGGAGGGGATTTCAGCTTCGGAAAGGAGGTACAAAAGTGACCCACCTTTTCTATATGGATGATCTCAAGTTATTCGCCTCCAGCCGCTCTCATCTTATGGAATTGCTAAACATCACTTGTGATTTTAGCAATTATATTAGAATGGAGCTGGGGACGGATAAATGTGCGTTCCTCCATGTCGAAAGGGGAAGGGTTGCTAACTCTGAGGGCATAGATTTATCTATGCCCATCAGCATAAGGACCCTTTCCGAGGCTGAAACATACCGATACCTGGGTATGTCACAGAACATCGGTGTCGATGAGGCGGGTATGAAGCAGTCAGTTTGCAATATGTTTTGTGCACGCTTGCCAAAAGTGCTTAACAGTCTTTTGTCGGGCGTTAATAAGACACACGCATATAATGGTTGGATCATGCCTGTTCTCATGTATACGAGGGTGGATTGAAAAGTACTCGGCCTAACACAGATCCATTCAATTCTAAAAATCAAATCTAGTCACATTATTTAGTTCAGTTCAGACTAGTTCATTGTGTGAAGTTCGAAACGTGTGCGATAATTAGTTGTGATTTTATAAATTTATTAACAAAGTAATCGGACATAATTTCCGCGAATGGAACAAATCGAGCAGCGTGCCGTCATTAAGTACCTCCATAAGAAGGGGCTATCATCAAAAGCCATCCATGATGACATGGTCAGTACATTAGGCGATTGTGCTCTGTCATATTCATCCGTCAAAAAATGGATAGCAGAATTTAAGCGTGGTAGAGAGAGTGTGAAAGATGAACCCCGCTCTGGAAGGCCTTCGACGTCAACTACTGACGAAAATATTAAAAAAGTACTTGATTTAATAATGGGAGACCGCAGATTAAAAATTAGAGAGATAGCCGAGATTATAGGCATCTCTTATGAACGAACTCAAAACATCATTGTCAACGAGTTGGGTTTCCACAAGGTGTCTGCGAGGTGGGTTCCGCGACTGCTTTCAGTTGAACAAAAAAGGACGCGATTGACTATTTCACGCGACTGTTTGGAGTTATTTGAAGCCGATGCAGATGATTTTTTGAATCGTTTTGTTACTATGGACGAAACATGGGTTCATTACTGTACACCGAAAACAAAACAACAATCAAAACAGTGGAGAAGACCTGGTTCACCACCCCCTAAAAAGGCTAAGTCGATTTTGTCGGCAAATAAGGTGATGGCTTCAGTATTCTGGGACTCGAAAGGTGTGATTATGATTGATTATCTTGAAAGGGGTCAGAATATAAACTCTGATTACTACTGCACCTTACTACGTCGTTTACGAGAGGAAATAAAAGAAAAACGTCGAGGAATGCTCAGAAGAAAAGTCCTGTTTCATCAAGATAACGCCCGTGTTCTCACGTCAGTACAGTCAATGGCTGAACTTGATGGTGATTATGTAGAAAAATAAAAATATAACTGATTTAGTATTTGTTTATTTTCTTGGTTAGGCCGAGTACTTTTCAATCCACCCTCGTACATTTGGCATACTCAGGTGGACTCAGACCGAACTGAACGCTCTGGATAGAAAAGTTCGCACTATTATGACGTCCCACAGGATTCATCATCCGAGATCGTCGGTAATGAGGCTGTACTTGCCGCGGAAACATGGTGGGCGCGGCTTTTTAAGTGCGCTTACCATGCATAATCGCGAAGTGGGCAGCCTCCGTAATTACTTTCTGGCGAGAGCGGATAATCCATTCTATAGGGACATTATTTTTTGTGATAAAGGACTTACCCCTCTATCCTTAGCCAACGAGCAATGGCAAGACCCGGCAATACAGAGCATTTCCGACCGGGAGGCCGTATGGACTCCTTCCAGGAGCTCCACGGGAGGTTCTACAAGGCTCTACATGAGCCTTTCGTAGACACAGTTACCTCCCTCCACTGGCTACGTTTTGGTGGCCTCTTCGGGGAAACCGAGGGTTTTGTCTGTGCAATACAGGATCAGGTTATTAAGACCAACAACTATCGGAGATACACCCTAAGGGATGGCACCGTCGACATTTGTCGAGCTCAGGCATGTCATCTCCGGTTGTTCGGCGCTTTCTAACTCTGAGTACTTGCATAGACACAACCTAGTAGCCAGGATTCTACACCAGGAGCTCGCTCTGAAATACAGTCTCGTGGATCGGAAACTGCCTTATTATAAGTACATGCCGGAAGCCGTGCTCAAAAATGACCGCGCCAGGCTCTACTGGGACCGGGCCATCATCACAGACAGGACTATTCTTGCGAATAAGCCTGATATTTTGCTGATGGACCGGGTACAGTCAAGGATATTTTTGGTCGACATTACCATTCCGTATGACGAGAACCTCATGAAAGCCGAAACAGACAAATGTACAAAATATTTGGACCTGGCTCACGAGGTGACCGACATGTGGGGCGGACTGCCGACCGAAATTATACCTGTAGTCGTTTCTGCGAACGGATTAATCCCAGTCAGCCTCTCGGGTCATCTGAGGCGGCTGGGACTCCGTGACGGACCGCTCCAAGCTCAAATGCAGAAGGCGGTGCTCCTCGATACCGTCCGCATATTCCGCCGGTTTCTTTCCCTTTCCCCCTAACCCTCGGCCGTCTGGTCTCCCCTGCCAAGGGCATCCATCTGGTTGGGTTTTTAATTATTTATGTATTTATTTTATTTTGTTGATATTTATGTATGTTTATCATTTTTATTTACAATTATATAATTATACAGCCCAACCAGATGAGAAAACTATACAAATACCCCACATAATAATATAATAATAAGTAATAAGTAATTAATGAATAATAAGTCATACTTATTACTCATACTTACATCAAAATGTTCTTTACAGAAGTATAGTCTATTTTTCTGCCGACTTCCAAAAAGGAGCCGGTACTCAATTCGACTGTATGTTTTTTTTTTTTTCGTTTTTTTTTTTTTTTTTTATGTGTGTTACCTCAGAACTTTTTTCTGGGTGAACCGATTTCGATGATTCTCTTTTTATTTGAAAGCTGGTACTTCTCGTGTGGTCCCATATGAATTTGATCAAGGTCAGACCAATAGTTTTTAAGTTATTCTTAAATAACTTATATTGAAGTCGGCTGTACAAAATTTTTAATTTTAAATTATTGTAAACACTGTATTCGGGTATCTTCTTGCCAGTTTTAACCAAGTATTTCACATTTTTAAATCAGTCATATGGGACCACACGAGAAGTACCAGCTTTCAAATAAAAAAAGAATCATCGAAAACGGTTCACCCAGTAAAAAGTTATGAGGTAACACACATAAAAAAAACATACTGTCTAATTTAGTACCGTCTCCTTTTTGGAAGTCGGCAGAAAAGTAATTTTATGGCACTATTCGGTTTTAAAAAATTCATATAAAAATTATAGTGATTCATTATCACTCTAGGATTCATTTAAAACACTATTTGAAAATGAGTGTAATACCTTATTGTGCAAATCAAATGGATTTGAATCGGTTCAAATTAAATCACGTTTTTGTATTACAATAGCTGACCTATTACAGCCAAGGAACTAATAGTTTTTAGAGTTCGTTGATTACAACAATACCGGGCTCTTGCCTCCATAGATAATTTAATGTTTAGTTGCATTTGATATTTCCGTATTGCGACATTTTTAATCTGTGAAATTCCGCAGATTCATAAGTAAGACTTATGAGATGGATTGTAACGATTACTTCTCTGATTCTACCAGGATTCGTCCGATTATACCAGGTATAGATCTAGACCTAGATAGTTACCAACCTCTTACCTATTTTTGCCGCCAAAGCTGTTCATGCACTGTTGTGATGATTGATGATTCGGTGTGAAGGATATAGAGAACCAGTATAATCACAGACTGTGTTCTATTTGAAGTTACGTGGTAGAGCCATGCTGCAGCTATATTAGTAATATAGTTGTAGCACGAATGGGTCGGCTCGACCGGGGAAGAACCACGCTCTCACAGAATACCAGTAGCAGCTTAACACTGCTGTGTTCCGTAAAAAAAGTCCCCGATTCTCTACACTCGGTGAGTGTAGAGAATCGGGGACTTTTTTAACTGGAAAATAGGCATTCTATCTTACTCCTCACGGGTGACAACGCATTTTGATTTGTAAGCGAGGATAGATGTAGATTTCTATGGGCCACAGCAACTATTTACTATCAGGTGGACTGTGTGCTCGTTTGTCACCCTAATCCTATATAAAAAAAGAAATGTCCATAGACTACAGTAGTCATCTACTATCAGGCGAACTTTAAGTTCGTTTGTCACTTCATTTTAATATAATACTATATGAGTTTAAAACAACTTGAACAACACGCATTGATCATGAGCTGTGATGACCCTGATACTTATTTTTAACCGATTTCAAAAAAGCAGGAGGTACTCAATTCGACTGTATTTTAGGTGTTACCTCAGAACTTTTTTCTTTGTAAGCCGATTTTGATCATCATCATCATCATCATTACAGCCCTTCACAAGTCCACTGCTGAACATAGGCCTCCCCCAAAGAATGCCACAAAGCACGGTCCTGAGCCTCCTGCATCCATCGACTTCCTGCATGTCTTACCAGGTCGTCACTCCATCTCGTGGGGGGACGCCCTACACTTCGCCTACCGGTACGAGGCTGCCACTCGAGAACCTTTCTTCCCCATCGGTTGTCGGTTCTTCGAGCTATATGGCCGGCCCACTGCCACTTCAGCTTACTAATCCGTTGGGCTATGTCGGTTACTCTGGTTCTACTGCGGATTTCCTCATTCCTAAGTTTATCACGCAGAGAAACTCCGAGCATAGCCCTCTCCATAGCTCGCTGAGCGACCTTGAGCTTCCTCATACGGCCAGCAGTGAAGGACCACGTCTCAGTTCCGTAAGTCATCACTGGCAACACGCACTGATTGTACAATTTCGTTTTAAGGTTTTGAGGTATGTCTGACGAGAAGATGTGTCGTAGTTTCCCGAACGCTGCCCAGCCGAGTTGAATCCGTCGATTGACCTCTCGGTCGAAGTTGGACTTACCTAGTCGGACTATTTGTCCCAGGTAAACATACTCGTCAACAACTTCGAGCTTAGTGCTCCCAACAACTACCGGCATAGGTGTGACATGGACATTAAACATGATCTTTGTTTTGTCCATGTTCATCTTAAGACCTATCCGTTGGGAAACACTATTGAGGTCATTGAGCATAGTGCTTAGGTCCTCCAGCGATTCTGCCATAAGGACTATATCGTCGGCAAATCGAAGGTGAGTGATGTACTCGCCATTGATGTTGATACCGTATCCTTTCCAGTCCAGAAGCTTGAAAACGTCTTCCAATGCAGCGGTGAAGAGTTTCGGGGATATGACGTCACCCTGTCTTACACCTCTCTGCAATTGGATAGGTTTCGTACTCTGGTTCTGTACTCGAATAGCCATCGTAGCCCTACTGTACAAGCACTTCAACACTTCGATATACCGACAGTCAACTTTGCACCGCTGAAGGGACTGCAGCACCGCCCAAATTTCGACGGAATCAAAGGCTTTTTCATAGTCCACATACGCCAGACATAGTGGCAAATTGTACTCTTCGGACTTCTGTACAATTTGCCGAAGGGTATGTATGTGGTCTATGGTGCTAAAGCCCTTTCGGAAACCGGCTTGTTCGGGAGGCTGGAAGTCGTCAAGTCTGCGCGCGAGACGATTCGTAATGACTCTCGAAAACAGCACGTAGACGCGGCTCAGAAGGGAAATCGGTCTGTAGTTCTTCAAGAGAGCGTTGTCGCCTTTCTTGAAGAACAAGACCACCGTACTTCTGCTCCACGCCTCCGGTGTAATGCCACCATGGAGGACGGAATTAAAGAGCTTCTGAAGGACTTCAAGTACCGGTTCTCCACCCGCTTTCAGAAGCTCCGCTGTAATTCCATCCTCGCCTGGGGCCTTGCCGTTTTTAAGGTGCTGGAGAGTCATTCTAATCTCGCTCAGACTGACGTCCGGGATATCATCGGAATAATGTCGGATAAGACTCGCTCTTGGATCGTTACTCACACTTGCGTGCGGCTCCAACGATGACGTGTACAGCTGCCCATAGAACCTCTCAATCTCACTCAAAATCTCAGGTGCCCCGGAAACGATGCTGCCACATTCTGTCTTCAGCTTTGACAGTTGGCGCTTTCTGGCAGACAGATCTCTGGCAAAGACTTTGGAGCCTCGGTTCCGCTCGATCGCTTCTTCAATACGAGCTGTATTGAATTTGCGTAAGTCCCGCCGCATGCATTTGGAGATCTGTCTGTTCAGTTGCCTGTATGCTGTTAAATCTGTTGAAGAATGTAGCTTCATCTCCCGTCTAACAGCCATGAGATTAAGAGTGTGATCGGAGAGTTTTTGTGTTCTTCTGCGGCGGGTCTTGCAGAACTTAGCTCCGACCGCATGGACAGTTTCCACGAGCTTGTCATTCAAATCGTCCACTTCATTGCAGTCTTCTAGGCACTGAAAACGGTTTTGTAACTCGAGCTGAAAGGTTTCGGGACTTTGGATTAGAGCACGAGGGGGACGGAGCGTTGACTTTATTAGACGAGACCTCTCCAACTTAACGTTTAGGTTCATTGTGCCTCTAACCATTCGGTGATCGCTGCCGGTTTTCACCCTCGCGATCACTGAGACATCACTGAACAGTTGTCGTCTGGTCGTCATAATGAAGTCAATCTCATTTTTTGTCGAACCGTCGGGGCTCGACCAGGTCCACTTCCTGTGGGGCCGCTTCTGGAAGAAAGAGTTCATCATAAAGAGTCCCTCTTTCTCCATGAAGTCGGCCAGCTGCTGGCCCCTTGGGTTCCGTTGCCCTATTCCAAATTTCCCTACTTTCAGCTCACCGTTCTCTCTTGTGCCTAGTTTTGCATTGAAGTCTCCCATTAACACCGTATATTGGGTTTTGGAGGAATGCATGGCTCTAGAGATATCCTCATACATTTCCTCCACCTCCTGATCGGGGTGTGCCGAGGTTGGTGCGTAAACCTGTATGACCTTCAGCGAATACCGTTTGGTGATTCTGAGTATAAGGTACGCAACCCTCGTCGACACACTCTCAATCTTTACAACGTTGTTAACGAGAGACTTGTGGACGATAAATCCGACACCTCCTTGGGACAGATGGTCGCCCTCCCGGTAATAGAGCAAGTTGCCGGATTCGAGGATTACCGTGTCCTCCCCCTCTCTTCGGACTTCGGATAATCCTATAATATGCCAGCGTAACTTGTCTATCTCTTCTTCCAGCTCCACAATCTTCTCGTCAGTCCTCAGGGTGCGTGCGTTGTATGTTGCCAGGTCGAGTCGTCGTAGGTGGCAACCGAACCTCCACCGGAGATTCTTAGCACCCCCTGCCCCGCCGTTACCATGGTCGCCACCGTAGCCAGGAATAGCGGGGCCGCCGGGGACTGGGGGCCGTTTATTATTGTCATTGCTCATGGGGGGTATATTGCCATAGTTGCCACGCTTGGCGAGCGGGTTGGCAACCGCAGTTTTTTTTATTGTTATTTTGGCTATTATCAGGAAGATGCTGCTGCCCATCTCCTGCCTGTTTCCCTTTGTCGCCTTTTACGACACCCACGGGAAGATATGGGGTAGTGGATATTCTTAACCGCCACTACACGGCATGTTACGTTAGTATATGTAGTAGTACTGACGTTAGTATCTTATAAATATTAATGTCAATATTTGTCAATAGTGATTTATAATTTTTATTCTTTGACATAATGTAATTGTTGACTTATCAACTTTCTTTTTTCTTTTCTCATCTTACTAGCTGACCCGGTGTCCCGAATAGCAGAATAAGTATTAAAAAAATAATTAACTGTTCTGTATATATATAATAAGTAACTTCGTACCTCTTCGTACCGTACCGTATCTATCTGGCTGAGTCTAAAAGAACAAGGAGTGGACGATGTCTATATAGAGCTAATCAAGTCCGTCTACAAAAAAAGCAAAAGCAGTATTAAATTAGAGTCAAAAGGAGACCCCTTTTCAATAAACAGAGGCGTGAGACAAGGAGACCCATTATCTCCAAAGCTTTTTAATGCTGTGCTGGAACACATATTTAGAAAATTAGACTGGGATGATTATGGTATTATAGTCAATGGAAGCCGCCTCAATCATTTAAAATTTGCAGATGATATTGTTCTGTTAGAAGAAGATCCTAGGAAACTAGAACATATGGTAAAAGACATAGCAGAAAAAAGCAGAGAAGTAGGTTTAGAAATTAACGCAGATAAAACAAAACTAATGACTAACTCAACAGAAAGCAACATAAAGTTTTACGGAACAAAGTTCGAATATGTGAAAGAATATGTATACCTAGGACAAATTATATCTGCTGAAGACTCCATGTCCAAGGAAATAAACAAAAGAATAGCCTGTGGTTGGAGGAAATACTGGTCCTTGAAAGAAATAATGAAGAACAAAGATCTAGGCACACATATCAAGAGAAAGACTTTCAACACTTGTATTCTCCCCTGCATGACCTATGGCTGCGAGACATGGACATTAACGGAAAAACATAGAGAAAAACTTGCTAAAACAGAAAGAGCAATGGAAAGAAGCATGTTGGGAATCAGGCTTAGTGACAGAATACGAAATGTGGAAATAAGAAGGAAGACAAAAGTAATAGATATAATAACTCATATAGACCATCTAAAATGGAGCTGGACAGGACATATGCTACGTTGCAAAATAAATAAATGGAGCAAACAAGTAACTTTATGGTATCCAAGAGGAGACATCAGAAGACAGGGACGTCCGAAAACAAGATGGAGTGACGATATCCGCCTAACTCTAGGACCATACTGGACTAGAGTTGCAGAGGACCGGGCTCAATGGAGAGAGCTGGAGGAGGCCTATGCCAAAAGGCACGCCGAATTGCGTGATATAATATAAGAAATAAAATTTATAAAATCAAAAATGTTAAACTGCATGTAGTTCGGAATAAAAAGGGCTTTATTATTATATTATAACTTCGTACCGACTGTTAGGCGGTACGAAGTTCGCCGGGTCAGCTAGTTTCAAATAAAAGTAGAAGTCTTATTTACTCGTATTTTCAAAAACTGCAATAACGGTACATCATTATTTATATATTTGAACTTATGTTTAAAATTTGGCAACTCTTTGAAAAATAACCCTGTAATTTATATGCATTTAATCAATCCATTAATTTATTCTCTATTGTATACCAATACAATAAGAATTTTTAACATGATATGTTTTATATAGATAGCTATATTAATAGTTGTGAGTGGGAATGGGTCAGTTGAATGGTCTCACTCATCGAATACCTGCGTGAAATATAGTAGCTTAACGCTGTAGTGTTCCGTATTAGTACAAGAAAAGTAGCTTCAAAATTGTCGATCTGACCAAATATTTCCTGTAGTTTTGAAAGTTTTGATAGTCTACATCTACATCTACACTACTATATATTATATATATATATATATATATATACTATTATAAAGAGGAAAGATTTGTTTGTTTGTTTGAATTGAATAGGCTCCGAAACTACTGGACCGATTTGAAAAATTCTTTCACCATTAGTATCCTACATTATCCCTGATGAACATAGGCTATATAATATTTTCAAAAAAGTTAGGGATCCGTATGAAAACTTCGTAAATGTAACCCTAGGTGTGAAAAAAATATACCAAAAAGAATCCTTATATCGCGTACGCTGCGGAAACTATTGATAATAGAGCAAAGTAATGTACTTCAGTTTTATAGAGGATATCAATATCTGCAAGAAAGCCTGCGATACCATGTTTAACTATTACAGTTATGTCACAATAACTACTTTTTCATGTTAAAATGTGAAATAGTAACACCGGTACAAAATAGGCCACATTATTCGTATCAGTACCTGTATCGTTACACCAATTACGTTAACCATATAATTTTAGTAACATATTTCACTTTTTAAATCTTTGTTAATTCAGCAACTGTCCGTCGTGATGTCTCTCTCGAAGTTCGCATGTCGCAAGGTGCAGATGCGTGATATACGCGGGTGAAACCGCGGGGCACAGCTAGTTTTCACATAATTTAGGTATTGATCACATATGTCTGAGTGAGAGGAGCCCAATTGCCACTTGGTACGGTGCAAAAGAAAGCCACCATCAATAACAGTCTCACTAGTTTTCAAATTAACATTAGTGTCGGATTTCGATGAAGCATAATATTTTGGTTTCCTTATTTAGCCACCATTGAATAAAGCCAGTGGTAGGGTGCTAACTCGTACTCCAAATACAAAAGGCAAACAACGAATGGAACATGTGCCGATGTTTGTGGCGCGATTTATCATCTTTGTCAAAGTATAACGATTGTGTTTCTTATTTTTATCACTTTTAATACTCTGTGTCACCTAAAGTGTTAATCGTACAGTAAAAATGTTTAGACATAATTTATAGGAAATTTGATGTAGATAATTAATGTAAAAGTCACTAAAGAGATATTATAAATAGTTTTCGATTCACATGCAAAAAACTTGAAAAAGAGACCTTTCCCGCCCTCCCCCACCGCCGGCTCGTGTCCCTCCCTCGGGGACTTTTAGTATATTCATCTAGACACCTTAAGGAATAACTGTACCAACTTTCAAAACTACATGAATTATTTGGACTGATTTCCTTAATTTTCTCACTGCTGTTTCGTGTCGTAAAACACAGAGAGGCTGGCTACTATGCGCCTGTGCTTGTGACTGATAAAATTGGCTTGAACCCTGTGTAGAAGTTGGGTATTGCAATGTATCACATATGCATTGGTTAGAACTAGTAAGAGTGTTATCGTTTCAAATGAGATTTATGAATATATTAAGTGATACTAGCGATCTGCCTCGGCTTCACACAAGTTTCGACAACATCGCCATCTGCTGGATGCGCACATAAAAAAAAATATCAAAATCAGTCCAGCCTTTTAGGAGCAATTTTTGACAAACACTCGTACAGAAGAATTATACAGAGGGTTATTTTCTAAATAGTATCCAAATTTTAAACTTTAGTTTATATATATAAATAACTAGCTGATACTCACGACTTCGTCAGCGTTGCTTACACAAATCACCTAACGCGTACTTATAAAAATCGTTCTTTCTTACAACTTTAATAACTTTATATTAAGTGAAGATATCGCAATAATTTTTTTTAGATAATTGCCAAGTGTCTAAGAAATAAAACTTAGAAAACCTAATTGAAATCTATCCAATAGTTTTTCCGTGATGCGCGCACAACTGCAAACCTCTATCATTATATTTATATAGATGAAGGTGATATATCGTTATTGCAGTTTTTGAAAATACAAGTAAATAAGGCTTCTACTTTTATTTAAAATTATCCCAAATTGAATGTGATTTTTTTTATAGGAATGGGTGACAAACGAGCACGCAGTCCACCTGATGGTAAGTGGTTGCTGTGGCCCATAGACATCTACATATATCCTTGTTTGCGAATCAAAATGCAGATGCATTGTCACCATTGAGGACTAAGGTGAAATGCCTCTTTTCCAGTAAAAAGGGTCTCCGGTTCTCTACACTCACCATGCGAAACACAGCAGTGTTAAGCTGCTATTTTACGCTGGTATTATGTGAGAACGTGGTCCATCCCCAGTCGAGCCGATCCATTCGTGCTACAACTATACTACTAATATAGCTGCAGCATAGCTCTACCACGTATAAAAGTATAAACGTTTATGGGCTACAACGTTTTTGCCCCTATTTGTGTATTTATTATAGTATTCTATGTTTTTGCCTACCGATCGACCCTTACGAATGTGTGAGTGCGAGGCAAAATCAGTTAAAATAATGCATTACCACTCATTTTGAATTTAAAAGATTTATGACAGGATGTTTTGAGACTTTTTTGTTATTACTTTTTGTTCACTATTTGCTTATTCTGAAATCTGGACATTATCTGCGAATTTGGCCGGTTATTGCAGAATAACCCTGTATATGTGTATAAAGATTTCTGATCAATACTATTTTACTATTTAATCTATAATTTCACGCTCGATTTAAAAAGGTACAAATCGATTAAAATTTCGTTGACCACGATTCGTTCGATATCTTCCAACTTTCGCTCGTTGATACGGTAGCTAAGAGGTTAAAAAGTGTTTGGTTTTTATTTATTTATTGCTATTATATAAAAAAAGTTTTAGCTTAAAAGTACGTAGATTTTTTTATAAATATTAGAAAGGCTCACGGCTGAAGGGCTGATGAAATAGAAGAAGGATGCCTTACATAAACGACTATATAGTCTTTTCTCTACAACATTATATTCAATGCAAAAGTATTTAATTGTTCAGTTTTTTTTTTCAATATATGTATAATTAAGAACTAGGCACGGGGTTTTGAATTTTTCAAACCGCGGAGGTTTGTCTAGAGACTTTTTTTTAATAAATATTACAGAGGCTCACGGCTCACGGCTCAAGCTCTACTGAAA